GAATCGATGCTAGGGCCTGTCAAAGATAGAAACTTTGCTATTTGGAATGATGCATCATTATTTAGGATTCACTCGAGCACCGGTCATATCGTCTGGTGGCCTCCAGCGTTCCCCGCTTTCCAAGAGGACAATTTATCTCGCCTCGATTTGTCTTCTATGTCAGTTTGGCTTATGGCCACTTCTTTACTTCCCTCTTCCTCCATACAAAGTGCATCGGATGTATCCAACTTTCATTTGATAAACCAGCTTTTGGGGCGACAGCGACGGGTTCCTAGTCAGTCTGAAGACAATGCAACTGGCCTTTTCAAAGAAGAGAGGGCCGAGGATGAAGATGAGCCCCTGGTAGCGGAGTCCATGAATCTTTCTGCTTTGGAGCGCCTCAATGCTGTCCGCAGGTCTCATTTGAAACCCACTTTGTCTGGCAGCTCATCCTCAACAGTCGGATCTCAAGCGCATATTCCTTTAGAGCCCTTAGGAATCACAGACCAGCGACTGAATTATCGGGACATTTGGAAAGACGGTCTGCACCTCTTGGTTAGTTGTGTTTATTTTATGCCTGAAGTTGCATCATAAATGCTCCGAATAAGGCTACAATTATGTTTTGGTAGATCAGCCCTTCATTTGCAGAGTCCATGTTTGAAGCACTGGATGTTTGCGAATGTGTAGGTGCTTTATGTCGGCTTACAGCAATGTTCCGAAATCAGTTGCTTTTTGTCTTAGACTCTGACCCAATGAAACATTTTACAAAGACTTCATTAATCCTAATTAGAGTTTAAGCAAAGAATGACTCATAGATATGAAGAGCAAACTGGTGTGACATTTTGCTTAGTCACAGTCTTTTTTTAGGTATATAATGTTGGTATAACCTCGTCTTCACAATTTTACCGGATTTGCAGGGAGATCCTTTGCTCCAATTACTAGCTAACTTATCCTGAAGTTCAAGGAAAGTTCTGACGTCCTTCAACTTTGCAAATACGATGATTAGCCAGGCGTATTTATTATCTTCTATCACTCTCTTCTCGTTTTTATCACGCAGGTTGCCTCAGAGCAACTAATAAATGTTGCATGCAAAATGTCCTGGAGAATTTCATTGAAATTACCACAGGGTCTTAAAGGAAAGCTTTGACTTTTTGAGTTCCATTTACTTTTATTTTGTTAATGAATTGGACATAAATGTCAATATCTTACGAAGTTATTCCATTTACATTATAGCCTTTCTATCGACAGCAAAGCTGAAGTATTTTTGGCTCTCTCATGGACAGCCCGAATGATTAATATATTGATGAAAACCCTTTTTTGTCAAGGTCTAGGCAAATGGACTCCCTATAGGACAACACTTAAGATGTTTCCATATCTTAGATCCTTATACGAAGCATTTTATGCGGCCAACATATCTTTTTTTCCTTTCCAGCTTCTAATGTTCTATAAGGCTAGAATTACTTGTTCTTTAGATTATTTCCTGCATGGAAACCCCGGCTTCATGGGTTGATCTTAACCCAATTTTATTTTTTTTGTCACTTTTTTCTATTTCGATTCTAATACGCGTATTTAAATTGGCCACTATTCTCACTGATTTCATATAATGGTAACGTAAATCATATCAAAATCTTGGGTTAACTGATTAATTAATATAACTGCTAATAATCATTTTGCACGTGTTAGTTACGCATACACAAATGCCATCCACGACTTATTAATTCTCCTGTTTTTACAATTCTGGTGTTTCCTCCACTCTCGAGCCAAGTATCAAAATCTGTACATATTTTTCTCCCTTAATTTTTATTACTAATATCCACGAATTTCTTAAACAAGGAATTAAAATAATTACTATGATGATCATTGATATAAAGACATGCTTTTTCCGCAAGTAGTAAGATGAAGCCGGATAC